CAAAAACAGTCAACGAGGGTATTAGTCATGGAACGATAACATTTTTACAAATAATATAAGACTTTTATAGAATGGACTACTCACGGACTTCTTTGAAAGATTTTTTCTTATAAGCGACTCATGTAAAAGTACATTCTCAAGCACACGTGTTATAAGAAATTCAATTGTGCATCCAAAAGTTGTACATTTGACAAATGTTTCAAACGACAGATTATATTAGTGTCTTCTTCTCCAGTCTCCACTTTAACCCATATTCCAGCGAAGAAGGGAGTATGACGATCCAATTGTGATCCATATTATTGACTTGTTTAAAAGACATTGCTTTGAAGTATTGTGCAACCAATGATTTTGTCTACAAATCATCCTCCAAACTTGTTTATCTAATGGAGTTTCATTATTAGAAATTAGAGCACTTCCATTTGATTTCACTTAAACAACTCACAGGCAACTTAAGCCATTAGCCATGCAAAGTTTTTTAAAAATCTAGGATCACAGACATGTTTGTTTAAAGATCTCAATAATGCCTTCGTACTTGTTCATGGCTGAATGAGTTTTCAAAGTTGAATAGCTAACCTGATGCATCTGCAGATTTTGGTACAATCCTAATGCATCAATCAAAAGACTGCCAATAAACAAGTACGAATCCTAATGCATTACATTTTTATATTGTGATCATTTTGCACAGTTTCCTTGATTGTTGCAAAGCCCTGCTAAAATTCGTCAACCAACTGATGAAAATCCTGGATAAGCAAAAAGCTAGAAAGTCTGATTTGTTTTTTTTATTATTTTTTGAGAAATAAGTATGTTTAATCGGGTTAATTATTATGTTCTACATGCCAACAGAAGAAATTAAAAAGATAGAACCGCCTAAAGATCTTCCTTATCATCAGAATCAAGGCCTAGAAGTTCTGCAAGCTTTCCACTTTCATATGCTTCAACAGTATCTGCAAACAAGTACACTCAATCGTTCAGTACAAAAAAGGCTGCTACAGTAACTTCAGATAAATTATATTGATCAATTTGGAACAGGATAGAGAAGATACCATCAGAGCCTCCAAGATGCTTCCCGTTTATAAAAACTTGAGGTACAGTTCGCCTACCGACTATTTCACTCAAGGCGTCTTGAATACTACCACCATCATCTAAAATCATACAAGGAATAAGGGGAAATTAGAGACGGATGCAGAGTTCTTATGTAAGTAACTGCCTTCATTTCATCTATTAAAGAAGGGAGACTTTGCCAAAAACTTCACCTTTCTTTCTTATAAAAATAATTAATCGTCATAGAAGAAGCTACAAGTTGTCGACAGTAAAAAGTTCATAGTGTTCGTGAATGCATGCTAAAAGTGTTCAGTATTTCGAAAAAAGATGGTGATTTTTGTCATGCAAACCAAAAGCAGCGTCAGAAATTTAAACCAAATCTCTCTCTCTTTTAGATTCTAAATAAATAATTGGAAACCAGAATAATAAATTACTGCTTGGAAGCACTTAAACATACTTTTTCTCGCCAAAATCCAAATCGTACCAGGAGCTTATAAGCTACCCTTCTAAGATTGGCACCTTGTATCAGATTATATTTATTTATTATTATTATTACTTTTTTTTTTTTACTCCCCTAATTAGTTTTCAACCTGTGTAACAGTTCAGCCGAACAAATTCAAAGAAAATGCATATGGCACCATTTATCACTGTGCATTATCCAAGCAATACTTGCGTGAGGCCTCAAAATGATAACCTTCAAGAGATGTCAAAAGTCAAACCTCGCTCATCAAGTTCCACAACATATGGATCTTGTTTCAACTCCTTAAACACAGCTTTTGCTCTTCTACAGTATCTGCAACAAATTACAGCAATTTAAATTAACGACACATACATATGTGTGTATCAGTCTCAGTTCAAGCATTTTACACTACCATCAGTATATAGGAACAATTCCAGCCACAAACATGAGAATGTTTCGATTTACTTCGGCCATTTCCTTACAAAGTTCACTAAAATCCCCACACAAATTAGCACAAGATTTTACCAACAGAGTTTGGATTTTGATAATGATATTAACATCAGCATCATGAGCATCAATGGTCTCTAATGCCGAATCAGAAACTCAATGTAATATATGACATACTAAATACCTTCGAAATATGATTAACATGGATCTTTAAAAGAAGAAAAAACTATGATTTACTTCAAGATTGAGACGGGTTTACTGGCTTATCCTGCCCCCAATGTTTTCCCGGTTAATCAATTGCATTTAGACGGCAGGCAATTATCTAAATTAACTGTCAAAATCTCTATAAACCCACTATTTCTCCAAATAGCTTAACTTTTAAGACTTCGGTCATATCATTAAACATAGAATATTCTCGAATCCACGGACCTGAGCTCGTTTCTGCTCTAATTTAATGAAATGTCGTCAATATCTATTCTGCAGTATTCCTAATCACAGATCAAACTTCAAAGACATGCAGCATTGTTATAAATTAATAAACACAAATAAGTAAACGAAAGAAAATAACCCAAATGTGCAAACTAACTAATGAATCCAACCTCCAAGCTCAATTTCAAAATCGCGCAGAGCAACATATAAAATCAATCAACAACATGAAAAATGAGTAACAAAAATCACCACCAAACAATCAAATAGATCTGCAAAAAGGAGACTTACGGGCAGTAAGATTTGGAGAAGATGACGATGGTGTGAGATGAGATCGTCTTCTTTACGAACGCTGACGGTGACTTGGGCTTCGCGTCAACAGACCCGTAGTACGATGCGAACAAAATGCCTAGGGCAAATAGGGCAGTGCCCACCGAGACTGAGCTCACAGTAGCCATTGTTGCCGAGATTGTCTAAGTTTGGCTTTGATTCAGTTCACAATTCAGCTGAAGACCCCAACTTTTTGAGACCCGGTCGGTTGATCGATTGATAGCCCGGAGGTTTGTTTATGTCAAATTCCGTCTGCAACGCCCCTATTTTCCCAAGAGAGATTTCAATACAAATTTTAGTTTTTGTTATAAAAAGGAAAGATAAGGGGGTGATTGGATATGAATTCAACTAGTAAAAAATTATTTTTTTTTAACTATAGTTAAATTTGAAAAAAAGTAGTATGGTTAGTTGTTAGTGGATATATTAAAATAATATTTAAATTAAAATAATTAAAGTTGATTTGATATAAAAGTAGGAGAAAATGATTGGAAGTGATGGTTAGTTAAAATTATATGAATGTGTGAATAGTGAATTAAAGTTGATGTGATGTGTAATAATGATTTTTTGATATTATTTAATTATGATGATAATATTGGAGATAGTGGAGTTGAGTTAAAGTTGAGTTAAATTTGAGTTTTGAGTGGGATATTTACTGTAGAAAATATAAACAATCACACCCTAAGTAACTCAATATAGAAATTAAAACTCTACCGACAATGAATTATGGGGGTGTATTTCCATAAGAATCTTAAAGATTTTTTAGGATTTTACTAAAAATAGATTTTTATGGGATTTTATCAATTCTCATGAATTTTATAGGATTTATTAGAAATCCCCCAAAGTGACATGTGGTATTGTTCCGAAATTCTATAGATTTTTAAAGACATTTCAAGAATTTTGTAGACTTTTATTATTGAATGAATAAACATCAACATTAATATATAAATATACCATTGTGAGAAAGATTATACATGAAAGAAAATAAAAATCAATTTGAACAAGGTGAATTTTCTATTTTATTGTTTGTTTATTTATTTTTTGTACAAAAATAGTCCAATTTGTTATAATTTTCTATTATATTCAATAAACCACATAATCTCAAGGCATACAATAACTGTATTTGTTTGTCTTACTTATAATTGTTTTATTCTATCAAATCAACCACATAATCTCATGAAATAATTATATTTTTTACTGACAACATTAATAACAATTATGTTTGAAACACATATTTGGTGATATTATGATAATAATGTCTAACAATAACTTATCTTTTAAGAGATTCTATAAAATTTTGTGTGGCAAAATTAAAATATTGAAAAATATAAAGTAAAAAAATCAATAAAATGCAAATTCGAGAAACACAAAAGTTTCGCGTCTCATAAAATTTCATATAAAATAAAAATGATAAGCAAGTCCAATTTCTACTTTATAGCATCACTCCACATTTCATTTGCTATTGCATCCCTCCATGCTTTAGCGGCCGCTCTTTGTTGTTCTTGACTTTCAAAAAATGGACCAAAATTATCTCCTTCGGATATTGGACAAGATTGACCTGTTTCTTGTTTATGTTCGGCTAGAAATCTTTTAAAGATTATGATAAATAGCATGAGAAAAGCCATCTGTTTCATAAATACAAAATGATATCACGCTAACAATCTTCATAAAGCTAAGCATACAAAGATAGATCATGAGAGCAAAATGATCTCAAACTGAAACCTTGTTAATACCTAAGACTATATTATGCAACCTAGATTCAATAATCTCAAGCTGACAGCATATTTGTAGTTGCTGCAGGGAACACGGCAATAGCCAACCTCTCCAGATTAGAGTATTTTCTCCTAACAACTTTTAAAGAGTAGTGAAGTGTACATTACATCAAAGCATTAACACATGAAGGATCACATGGTTTTGTCATCTAATTATAAATAATGCACAAATGATTTACCAAATGTGAAAATTGGTTTGGTAAAGAAACAGAAAAACNAAAAAAAGAACAATGGCTTGTATCCACAACCACTCAATCTATATGCTAAAGGGATGTAATACTCACACACACACACACACACCCAAACACATTTCAAAGACTATTATTCCATCAAGTGACAATAGAAAAGCTTGAGTAGTTAATTAACAAATATATCCGATTAGCTAATATTCCACACCATGGTCTCACAGGCAAGCATGAAATCTAAACATACATTAGCTTTACTGACTTTGAAATTTAAAAACAAATATTCTCGTTTTATGTACATGCACGTTACGATATATCACACATATTTACAAAAAAAAAAAAATGTTGTGGAGATTGCTTGTGTTTAACTAAACGGCATCTTTATCTAAACATACATGAAATATATCCGATTATCTCATAATAATTTTGTTTAACATAAGCATGAAACAGATTAGTAATTAACATGAAATAGAACCAGACTAATCATCAAATAATTTCATTAACATAGAAACAAGAAACAAATCATTGTCATACACAAACACAATTGTTATACATAAGAGATGTTGTTAATCACAAGCATAGATGTTGGTACCTTTTAGAACAATTCATGAGCAAAGAGAAGATAAATCGTCCCACTGGAAGAGACATCGTCCCTTGTAAACCCTTTTATCGCAAAATCTCAAAATCTCTCATATATTGGTGGGATTTGTAATGAGATTTGGTATATATAATTTCCCAATGAAATCCCTCTTGATAAATTGAAGACCTCTGCCAACTCATATGATGATTGGGAAATAAAGAGAAAAGACATGCACAGCCATGCATGCTCACGTGCACAAGAAGACAAAATGGAGTTGGCTCCTTCCTAGCTCCTTCCTATCTTGTCATGTTATGATTTTTGAATTTTAGAATATACCTTAGAGATTCCCTATTATGCTAGGCTATGTTTTAGGTCTTAGCATTTCTATAAATATGTAAAACATATTAGCCGCCACTGTACTACAGAACATTATCCACATTTTCTTGCTGCTATTGAGAACTCATCTTTCATGGAATTCAAGCTTTTTGTTCTTCATGGTATCAGAGCTCCAGGTTAATACCTGGGCTCGTACCTAAAACTTCCCTTCCCCTTCTCAAATGGCAGATACCTTAGCAACCAGAAACATGGAACCAACACCCATTGTTCAACCCCAAGGAAATCTTATCACCATCAAACTGTCTGAAAATAATTATCTCGTTTGGAAACAACAGGTCTTAGCAGCCATTTATGGCTATGGTCTGGACTCATACATCGATGGCACAAAGCCATCTCCAGATCAATTCATTACCAACCCTCAAGGACAACAAACAATCAATCCAGAGTATGCTGCTTGGAAAAGACAAGATCAACTCTTGTTCTCTTGGATTTTATCCTCTCTCAATGAGTCTATACTGGTTACTACTGTGGGACTCAGCAGCTCAAAAGAAGTCTGGGAAACACTTGAGAGCAGTTTTGCTACTCAATCTCGAGCTAGGGTCATGCAATACCGCCTCCAACTGCAGACCTTGAAAAAAGGAGATCTACCCATGAGAGAGTTCCTCAACAAGATTAAGTCTTGTTGTGATATGTTGGGTGCAGCTGGGCAAAAGATAGGTGAAGAAGAACACATCTCCTACATCTTAACAGGCTTGGGAAGTGACTATAACTCTGTTATGGTCTTAGTCAACTCAAGGATAGAACCTTATTCCCTTAGAGAAATACATTCTCTTCTTCTCAGCCTGGAAAGCAGACTTGAAAGCATCGAAGGAGGATCATCCATCACTGAGGGATCTTCACCATCTGTTAACACAATTACTCAGAACAAAAGAGCTCCCTTCAACCAAACCTTTAAAGGAAGAGGACAAGGCCAATACTTTAGAAATAGAGGAAGAGGCAGAACACCAACTGGAAGAGGAAGAGGAAGAGGCTCTTGGAGAAATGCTTGCCAGATCTGCCACAGAACAAATCACACTGCAGAAAAATGTTTTTACAGAGCTGATTTGAACTACACTCCTAATGTTAATCCCCAGAACTTCAGCTCAGGAGGTCAAGTCAACATGACTCAGCTTCAACAAACCTCCAACAACCAGTCATCAAGCAATAGCAGTGTTGCAGATTCATACCAAGATTCTTGTTGGTTTCCAGATTCTGGAGCAACCGACCATGTGACTTATGACATTGGAAATCTCAACATAGCCTCGGAGTACCAAGGAAATGAAAGGGTCCAGATAGGCAATGGAACAGGTTTGCACATATCTCATATTGGTAACACTGTAATCAGTTCACAAGATAACCAAACCTTTTGCCTAAATAATCTTCTTCATGTCCCTAATATCACAAAAAATCTGATAAGTGTATCTCAATTTGCCAAAGACAATGGTGTTTATTTTGAATTTCACCCCAACTTTTGTCTTGTGAAGGATCTTCAATCAAAGGAAACTTTACTTGAGGGAAAGCTCAAAAATGGCCTGTACACCTTCAATCTTTCTAGCCACTGTGGAGAAGACAGTCAACCCAACCTGAATTTTCATGCTTTCAATAAAAGACCATTCCATTATGTGAATGTAGTAGAGGCTAAATCTAGAACTAGTTTCTCTGATTGGCATTCAAGACTAGGACATCCTTCATTTGAAGTAGTTAAGAGAGTTATGAAGCATTGTAATCTCAGTTTCAATGAAGATGAAATAAACTTTGTTTGTGAACCTTGCATGAAAGGAAAAAGCCATGTCTTACCTTTTTCTGATTCCACCAGTGATCATTATGACTTATTGGATCTTATATATACTGATCTTTGGGGACCCTCTCCCATTGTTTCTAGGAATGGATACAAATATTACATCAGCTTTGTTGACCATAAATCCAGACATGTTTGGCTTTTCTTGCTTAAATCCAAAGTTGATGTCCATTCTGTCACTATACACTTCATTAAGCTTGTTGAAAGGCAATTTCAAAGAAAGGTCAAGATATTTCAAAGTGATGGGGGAACTGAATATAAACCTCTTTCTAAATTTTTTAAGGACAATGGGATAGTTCATAGAATGTCTTGTCCTTATACACCTCAACAAAATGGATTGGTTGAAAGAAAGCATAGGCATATTGTAGAGACTGGCCTTGCTATGTTGGCTGCTGCTTCAATGCCTAAAAATTTTTGGATGATTCTTTTCAAACTGCTGTTTACTTGATCAACAGACTCCCAACAAAGGTCCTTAACTTTCAAACCCCCTTTGAAATTCTCACTGGTCAGCACCCTTCATATTCACACCTCAGACCATTTGGTTGTGCTTGCTATCCATTAATGAGACCATATAATAAACACAAGTTGCAAGATAGATCTCAACTTGGC